AAAGGTAATTAATTATCACCGCAACGATGGATTGCCATCGGTAGATTGTTACAGGCAATTATGACACTAAATCGTTTAGACGATGATGTATAGAAGTAAGTCACACTGCTTGAATAAATATCTTTGATATCCGCACCACTCAGTCATCATACATTGTGTGTTCGCAGTTGTGCACAATTTAGATTACTAGAATCCGGTATAAAAGAAGAAAGACTAGTTACAAAGTTAATTTATCACCAGAACGTGTTGTCTCACTATAATACTCATTCATCACTTAGTGTTATCTCCACAAATAGTTAATCAACAGAATGGAAAACGTAAATTAGTCGTATCTATCCGACTTTGACCTTCAATGTCGCGTTGTACTCTGCAAAACGAGATCTGTCTATATTCATAACGTCATGGCAACCATCAAATAACAGATAATGTAGCTAAAAGATCAAAACTATAGATATATTTCTAATACCCCTGGGACGTCACCATCTTTCACATAAGTTTGATAAATCCGTAAAATTTCCCGAATCCAACAACTCACCAGCTGCAATGCATGTATACTGAAATAATGTTTTTATTTGCAATGTACTTTATAGATCTAATATGCGTTAAATACAATAATATGATTAAAGTAAAAAAGGAATGTGTATTTTGTTCAAGCTAATTGATATTGACATATTGTTATTTGCTTGTCTTAATAAATTTCACAGAGATAAAAGATATGAACCAATAACAGTCATCAATGTACAAATACAACCATAATAAAAACGGGATTAGACTATTCTCTGATTTTAAAATGATGTTCATGATATCACGTACTATAGTTAGCAATGTATGTAGTGGTCATTATAATGCATGACACTACCCCTAGGAAGCAAACTCGGGTGTCTAGACAACTCACTTCAAAATAATAACAAAATGTGTTTTCAGAATTGTTTATCCACGTGTCTGGACAGCTCAGTCGGTTACAACCCACTGTATTTTTACAATCTTACTATCAAGTTAATAAAACAGTGGGCATGACAGTAGCCAAAAAAACAAGGTAGTAAGTCTACACAATTAACAATGAAGATACAGACATATAAAGGTTACATACATTACAACACTAAACACGGGATAAGAACTCATAATCTAGACAAGGCTGCAAGCCACTACAGGCAGACGTTCACCATATCACGTCACAGTCAGTGTCCTAAGGAGAACACTTCCAAGTGGAATGTAATGAGCACGGTCCCAAAGCCGAATCTTGGACATATAAAAATAATTATTCTTTGTTCAACTACACTACACTACACTACACTACACTACACTACACTACACTACAGAACAACTCTGTCCATCACCACACACAATCACTTCGAGCAACTGCGGGAAATCGTTGATACATACATTAGACTAAACACGAGATTCGCACTCATTATCACGCAAAGCGCCTCGCCACTAAACACTTGTTGTGTCTGAGGCATAATGCGGTGCATAACACGACCCAAGAAAAACAAATCCTTGAGGCTGGACAAAACACTCTTCTGGTAATGGTAACCCTTTCTGGTAACCCTTTATGTGGTTTAATAATAAACTCACTAATATAAGTTAATAAATCACCAATCTAAGACATGGTACTACCCAAGGAAACAAAACCCTGTGTCAAGGCAATAAACCACTGTGTTTTAAGAATCTTTCTACGCCAAAATGGGGACCGCTTTCCTGTGTCTGGACAACTGATTCTCCAATTCCGCGTTAACAGTACCACAGAGGGACTGTGACAGTACATTTCAGCCGAGTTAATAAACCACTGTGCATATGGCTACACAGCACTACCCAATAAGCAAACCTCTCTTTACTAGACAGCT